TTTCTACCATCATAACCGCCGTAAATCTCTCTCCCAAGACCAGTGCGGAGGTCACCCTTCAAGCCAAACCTGCTCAGAGCTTTGTGTTTCTGGAAACGCACTCACCTCTCACTGCCCACCTTCTACTCTCCCTCACAAGTCTGGAACCTAATGGTAAGCCGATCACCATTAAGCCCTATGCCCCCAGTCCTCCAATGTCATGTCTCGGCGTCATACACAACGTCGGTGGTCACTTCACATCTCAGCTCTTGCATGACCACGAATTCTTTACTTCAAATATACTCGCTCCACGTATGATGAGCTCCAAAAATTCCGTCCTCATAACATTTGCTGGAACCATCATCCCTTGCATTGTGTACTTCAAACGCGTCTTTTTCCGATGCCGTCCACATAAACCTAAGCTCCCTACTTGCACTCGGTGCCTTGCTATTGGGCACCGTGCTCATCAATGCCCCAAACACAGCGTTCCGGCCAAGTGCCGCCACTGTGCGTCTCCTCTACCAGCAGATCTCGATGCTCACGTTTGCGCCCAACCCTGGTGCATCCATTGCCAAGTCAACACCCATTCATCTCTCGACTCCACCTGCCCCTACCTTCTAGCTAAGCAACGCGACTGTGCCAAAGCAGCTTTTCTCCGTCGCACAGCCATGCGCCGAGCCACTCAGCCTTCGCCGCCCTCATCTTCAGCGCATGAGTTCCTATCACCTCCCGCAACATCCACCCCCCCCCGGGCTCATACGCCGCTAAGGTTAAGGGAACACCTCCCATGTGCACTTCTTCATCAAACACACCTTCACCATCTTTAAGTAACGAGAGCCGCTCCTTCGATCTGCGACTGGCTATGTTGGAGCGCAACCAGCGCGAGCAACAACGCGTCTCAGATGAGCTACAACAGAAAATACTCGCACTGACGCAGACACTCGCAACTACCACATCCTCTCTTACCTCTCGACTCACGAAGCTAAATAAGCAACGCACCACACTTACCGCCCCGACCTCCAGCTCCCATGTAACCAAAGTGGCCGACATGGTCGAAACCAACACCACTGCGCATCACACTCGTTCGGTCCAGCTGGAAAATTCAATAGTCCGGATTCTTACTACCCTCGAAGCCCAATCTAAGCAACTGGAATCTTTCACCTATATGCTTAACTCCCTGCAAGAGTCGCTTCCCCCGGCAAAAAAAGAAGGAACGCGCACGCGTAGGCGCTTCCTCTACTTCAAAGACGTAGATGGCGCGTGAAGAGGACCTCAATAATTTGCAGTGGAACTGCCGCAACTTTTGTCATAATAGGACCCCTCTCTACCAATATCTTCTCACCCGCCAAACATTACCCCATTTTCTCCTTAACAGGAGACTCAGGCGGCCCTTGCTGTCTCGGGCTACCGTGCATATCACGCTACAACGGCAAAGCCACTTGCATCCATTTATGTATGCAATGACGTTCTCGTTGAACCACTAGACGTACCCTCCCCCCTCCTGAAACATTTAGTTGGTGTGGTCTATTACCAACCATCTACCCGTATTTCTCTCGCTCTGGTGTCATTTTGCAACCCCCCTGTTACGTCCTCTTTGTTTAGTGCTTTCGGCAAATTCCTGCACTCCCTTCCATCGACCACCCATATCCTCCTTGGGGCTGACTTTAATGCTTCTCATGGGCTCTGGGGTTACCCCTAAACACTCAAACCAGGTCGCCTTCTACACTGCCTCGCCCAGGAACGCCATCTCACCCTTCTTAATACTCCTGACACCCCTACTCGAGCGGGCACTGTTTCACAGCGTTTCACTACACCCGATCTCACGTTCTCTCGGAGTTCCCTTCCTTTTCACTGGCAGGTGTCCGCTGTAAATATTTTCAGTCATCACTTTCTCATACACATCACCACCCCTCTTTCCCACAATAGGCGGAAACAACGAGTCGTTCACACTGACTGGGAAGCATTTCAAACTTACGATGACTGGACGTCGCGGATCTCCGCAGCAATGACATCCTGTAGTCGCCGCACTCGTTTTCAACTCCCCATTCCTGACCCTGATCCTCACTTCCTCCGCTTATGGTGACGTCATCAACGTTTGAAACGCGCTCTACGCTCCCAGCCACACAACGTCCAACTTTCCTTCCGAATTGATGCTCTGCGGGCTGAAATTATCGCTTACGGCACTTCTCTCGAGCACTCTCGTTGGAACACGCTGTGTGATGGCCTTGACTCCGCACTGCACTCGCGCTCTACATGGTCTCTGTTTAGGTCTTTCTTAGGTACCAAGCTTGCCGTTGCTCCCACCCTAGCTAAAGCTCTCGCTCAAGGGACTCCATCTGTTTGAAAATTTAAAATCTCTGTATCTCCCACCCCCCCTCACACCTTCCTACCCAGATTACTGTGGCGAAGCTAACCCAGACCTGGACCACCCATTCACACTCAGGGAGCTGGAAGCTGCCTTAGCCACTCAATCTACCCGCTCGGCACTCGGTGAGGATGAGATAACATATACTACATTACGTAATCTCCCCGACAACGCGAAGAAATTTCTCTTACACACATTCAACGAAGCATGTAACAGCGGCTGTCTTCCAAGCTCTTGGACATCATTTCTAGTTTGCATGATTCCGAAGCCGGGCAAACCTCCATCTCTCTCTAACCTTCGCCCTATCTCTTTGACGTAATGCGTTGGCAAGACTCTTGAGCGAATGGCCTTGAATCGGCTGTCTGATTTTATTGAGGCGAAAGAGTTTTTCCCTCCTTCTCTTATTAGCTTCCGACGCCACGTTTGTGCGCAGGACATGTTCCTTGTTCTTCAGCATACTTTTCTTTCACCTTCTCGTAGTCAGATCCGTGCGCTTGTAACCGTCGATGTACGGAAGGCATTCGATGGCGTCAGTCATGACCACATACTCGCTCAGCTCTCCTCCCTGTCATGTGGCTCCCGCATGTATTCTTACATCCGATCATTTCTTTCCAATCGAGTTGCTCGCTTTAGACTAGTCATTTGTCTAACCCACACTCTCTCACCCGCGGCACTCCTCAAGGTGCCGTACTATCTCCTACTTTATTTAATATGGCTATGGCCCCCCTTGCCTCCCAACTGTTCCAAGTACCTGACCTCCACCATATTTTTTATTCAGACGACATCACTCTCTGGTGTACGTCTGGATGTCCCGGCCACGTGCAGGATACTTTGCAACGTGGCCTGGACCTTATCGCTTCCTTTCTCGCTACTGCTGACCTGTCCCTGCACCGGAGAAATGTGAACTACTTTTGCTAAACCGGTCTGCGTACCAGCACTCCCACAATACCCTCATCTCCCTACATCTTTCTAGCTCTCTCATCCCCACTGTTCAGCAATGCAAAGTTCTTGGCTTCCCTTTGCACGCGACAAAGAACGCGCAGGCCCTACACCACGCTGTGAGGACTGGCCACTCGGTGACCCAACTCCTGCGACGCGTTGTCACTCGGCAGTCGGGGCTCCACGAGGCCCATGCGTGCCGGGTTGCACATGCGCTTGCCCTTAACAAGTTCTTGTACTTTGTACCCTAAATTCATTTCACCGAAACGCAACTCAACACACTCGAAAGAGCTCTATTAGGCCTATACAAGGCAGCTCTAAGCCTCTCTCTCACTACCTCTACCACTAAGCTCTTTACCACAGGCCTCTTCCATCCATTACGTTCTCTCATTTCTCTGCACCACGGCTCTCAGATTGCCCGTCTTTCTCTCACTCGTCAAGGCCAATGGCTATTAGCCCAAGCCAGTATCCCTCACATTCCCGTTTCCGTTCCCACCTTGCCTTCTGCCGCTAGCACCGTTGTTTCTAACCTTCGCATCCTTTTCCTCCCATCCAATATGTCTCCCGTTCTCCACGCCGGCCGGCGTCATGCAGCAGCACAGCATCATTCTCCTCCTCTCTCTACACAAGGGGTTGCCAACACGGATGCCTCATACATGGCTCCTCGGGGCTCGTGTGGCTACGTTATCTACCATCCACACCTTTCGGCACCTGACACGCACACCAGCGGGCCATACTTACACCCGCCAAATGTACTTTCACTCGAGGTCCTTTCCATGGTCCATGCCATGGAGTCATTTTCCTCCCTCCCTTCTCTCCCCGAGTACACGATTTACTCCGACTCTCACGCCGCCATCCGTCACATTCAGAACAACACGTTGCCCCCTGCTCTTCAACAGGAGGTCGAGCGAGCGGCCTCTGCTCTTCAACACTCCACTGTCTTCCTCCGCTGGGTTCCTGGGCATGCGGGTATTAACGGCAATGAGCTAGCTCATCAGCTTGCCCGTGATATATTGCACCGGGCACCGTCATTCTCTGGCCCACACCTTCGGAAGACAATGAGACTCCGCGAATAACGATGTGCAGATCTTTCTTGCGTCACACTATCAAGGAGTGTATATCTCCAGCTCCGGCCGACAAGCGTCTTTACCCTCCCCTCATCCATCACTCACTGCATTCGATGCTCGAACTCTACGGCACATCCAAATGAACTGCCTGATAACCCCCTCTCGACTTTTCCTTTATAAATATAGGTCTAACCCCTGCTGTCCTAATTGTCCCTCCCCACACGCTGACCTGTCACACAGCCTGTTTTACTGCCGAACTGCTCAGTAATCCAGCTATTACCCTCCCCCATCACTTTCCATCACCTCCTGGCTCGACTGGATCGGCGCCGAAGGGGAAGAAGAACAGCGTCGACTGATCGCACAGGCGGTCGAAATGCTCGGCCTGTAAATTTGGCTGAATAAATGTATATTACTGCTATATATATATATATATATATATATAATATATATATATATATATATATATATGGTATTAAGAAAGAAAGGCAGGGAGGTTAACGAGAAAGCAAGTGTCTGGTTTGCTACCCTGCACTGGGGAAGGGGAAATGGGAGACAGAAAGCGAAAGATAGTAAATAAAGCTGTGCACTTTGGCGAAACTATTTAGGTGATGGAGCATACTGTTATAAATATTCAGCTTGTAGATACGCACCATGATTTGAAGATCTGTTCAATACTATTGTGAAGCTGGCGCTGCATTGCCACAGGATGTGGACCGTTGATGATGATCAGCTTTTTCAACATGTCCTCGTGTTTTGTGGCGAAACTCCAGGCAATCGGCGCGCCCCAGTCGTGGCCGACAATCACCACCTTTTCTCGACCTGGGGCAACCAACATTCGGCAAACAACAGATTGCAGTATTCTATAAGCGGCACCACACTCAAATATGTGTACACGTTCTGTTTAGCACAGTTTGATCACAAAGTTCGACCTTTGCCTATGGTGTCACTTTCATTTGGAAGAAATTGGCACTCATTTTCGCGATCGATGTGTCGTCTTCCAGATATAGCAAAGATCTAACTCGAACTGTACTTGAATACATTAAAAATGGCACAGTTGTGGCCTATCCCGTCGCGTATCAATTTCTTCTCTTTGTCTTTATTGTGCGTTTTTGCCAAAAACATTCTGGATTGTGATCCCCAAAGTGCAATTAAATATTGAATAATTTAATGCCAGTTGAAGCAAAAGATTAAACGAGCAAGAAAAAAGATCGCTAATAACGAATCACTGCGTCAACTTCGGCAAGAATTACACACTGTGTGCTCCCTTGCACAAAAAAACAAATATTTTCAAACTGCTTTTTCTAGTTTTATTAACACTAATCTTCAAGAGTCCTGGCATTTTGTCTATTAAAAAATAGACAAAAGAAAGAACGCAGATTTGCTTACAACGAAGCCTAGTGGCATTGCCTACGTGTTGAATGAATATTTTGATTCAGTATTCTCTTCAGCCGAAAGTGGCGTCGAGTAATTTGGGCCATCAGGTTAATATGAGAAGTCTATATCCTTGTTTTACTGAACCTTGAAGAAAGATCTTCGGGTGGTACGTACAACATTCCCAATGCTTTATTTCGCGCCAGTATGCCGAGCCTGTGTCATCCATTCTCACTGTGATTTTTGGTTCTTGTTTAAAGCTAAGTATCCCTCAAGATCATTGCTTTATCGCCAATGTAGTGGCAGTTCACAAAAAAGGAGGCTGCTTGAAAAAGAAAAATACCGCCCGACATTACTGACGCCATCCTGCTGCAAAATACTTGAATACAAGCTCGTACATTTCATAACAAAATTTTTTGAACGGAATAAACTGCTATCTTGTCCCCAACATGGCTTTCACAAAAACCTTTCAACACTCGCTCAGCTTATTACCACTATTCATAGGTTGACTTCAGCCCTCGACATGAGCGGTGAGATTGATCTAATCTTTCTGGATTACAGCAAAGCTTTTAGCCATTTTAGTAAACTCCCAGCAAATTTCACAAATTTGGTCTACCGTCTTTTATTGTAAAAATTGATTAAACAGTACTTGTCCAACCGAACTCAGTTTGTTGATGTCGATTGGTGCTCATCCATGTGCTTGCCAGTTACTCCTGAGGGGAGTGTTTTGAGACCATTTTTTAGGGACGAAGCTCGTGAAGGCGTCGGTCGGTCCAATGCTTGTATGTATGTATGTATGTATGTATGTATGTATGTATGTATGTATGTATGTATGTATGTATGTATGTATGTATGTATGCATGTATGTATGTATGTATGTATGCATGTATGTATGTATGTATGTATGTATGTATGTATGTATGTATGTATGTATGCATGCATGTATGCATGTATGTATGTATGTATGTATGTATGTATGTATGTATGTATGTATGTATGTATGTATGTATGTATGTATGTATGGTATGTATGTATGTATGTATGTATGTATGTATGTGACCGCCTATAGTTGCACCTTTGCCAGCTGCCCACTATTTCATCCTTGCAAATATCCCACTACCCCCCTTCACAAATCCGCCACTTTACCGACCGCGAAGCAAATACCATTGAGATGTAGCCAATATGAAATGCAAGATGGCCGCGTATCCAGGTGCGCATTAAAGAACCATAGATTGTCTGACAGTGTCCATTCCTTGCTTGTACCTGACCACTTATAGTTCCAGCTTTGAAAACTGCCCCCTACTTCGTCCTTGCAAACATCCCACTATGCCCCATCACCGATCCACCACTTCACCGGCCATAATGCCGTTATAATGGAGAGGAACCGAAGCGACGTATAGCTACCACTTACGAATTGTAGACTTTCTTGTATAAACATATACAGTATTTGTATATATAACCCTCCAGCACTTCGCCCCACTCATCATCATTCACTCCGTGGATATGCTGTGATTTTTTTATAGATGTGAACAATATTACCGCTTCTGTGTTTCCTGGTGCCCAAATTAGGCAGTTTGGCGATGAATGTTCGGTTTTTAAAAAATAACTTGGCGAAATGGCCATATTTCATAAAATTCTAGCATCGCGAAAATGCCAGAATGGGCCACAATTCGGTCAACGTCACTGAATTCAAAGGAAACTGTGCTGCCACGCGTAAGTAATGGAACACAACATTTATTATACATGCAATAAAATAGAAATACACGTACCGTCGCAAAAGCCATGGAGTATATATATTTAGGATTGACAATCTCCAGCAAACTGACACGGTCCTCGCACATCAAAAATATCTGTGCAGCAGGTACTCGCAAACTTGGCTTCATCATCTTCATCATCATCCTGACTACGCCCACTGCAGGGCAAATACCTCTCCCATGATCCGCTAATCAACTCGGTCTTGTTACTGTCATTGCCACATTATACCCGCCAACGTTTTAGTCTCATCAGCCCACCTTTGTGCGCTTGCCATCTGAGAGAATTTAGTCAGCTACCCTTAATGACCGCCGGTTATACTGCTTACGTGCTGCGTGTCCGACCCATGTCTATTTCTTTTTCTCGATTCGACCTATGATATCCTTGACCCCGGTTTGTTCCCACACGCACTCTGCTCTCTTCTTGTCTCTTAAGGTTACACTTATCATCTTCATTTCCATCGCTCGCTGCGTCGTCCTCAATTTAAACTGAACCCTCTTTATAATCTTCGTTCAGCGAACTGGGAGCGCAGAGAAAACACAAAGGACGAAGCGAGGAACCACACAACACGAGCGCTCAACTAACAACTGATTTATTTTCCACATCGGAAGGACATATATAAACACAAAATGCGCATGTCAAAAAAAGATTATGACGAAATCAAGGGCAGCATGCGAAGCGTGTAATCAACGCACATGTCTAAGGGTTATCTAGGTAGCTGAATTCACAGTCAAGTAGTGAGAGGGAAGGATGACTTATACATTGGTCCGTATTCCTGGAAATGTGATAGGCTTCAGAAATTTCGCGCGTAGTTTGATGAGGATGCCGGAACAGAACAATTGTATTCTCAAACAGAGGTTGGCACTTGCACGAAACGCAATGTGACGCTAAATGGGAGTAAGGTGTACTTTTCAACGAGCTTCTGTGTTCCCTGAGACGCACGTTCACACATCGGCCGGTCTGGCCAATGTACATCCGTCCGCAAGAAAGGGGTATCTTATATACTACTCCGGTGATGCACTTAACAAACTTAGTTACGTGCTTCTGCAGGCATCCTCTACCTTTAGATGCATTATGTGCCCTCCTGTGCACCATTGAACATATACTGGCCAATTTATTGGGTGCCAAGAAAACTACGCGCACACCGAACCGGTTTCCCACGTTTTTTAACCCATGGGCCATTTTATGAATGTAGGGGATTACTGCCGCGCGCTTCTTATTCCCTTCCTTGTTCTCTGAAGAAGTACATGTGCGTTTTTCATTATTTTTGACCGTACGCAAGAGCTTTTCACAGACCGAGGCTATTACGTAGGAAGGGTATCCCGCACCTATCAGCCGTTCCAACTGTGCTACGAAACCACTTTGCAAGGTATGCAGGCAACATTTTCCGAGGGCTGAACGTAAGCATGACATTACGATTCCGCGTTTAACAAGCTTGGAATGTCCGGAAGAGTAGTCTAGAACGGGTTTTGCAGAACGAGGATTATATCGCCAGCAAAGGTGCTTATCACCAAAAAACAGGGAAAGGTCTAGGAACTGCAATTTGTTATCTTTTGGAAGCTCTGAGGTGAACCGGAGGCTGTCACAGAACGAGCGCTAAAAAAGAGCGCGCCACCAAATCCTTGCGACAACGGGCGGCAGAAACGCCGCGAGGTAAAAAGAAAAAAAAAGAAAGCAAACATCCAGGGCTCCCGGGCGCGCGCCTGTACTGAGAGAACTTTGTACATTTGTATTATTGGGAATGTGTGGTGGAGTGTTGTACTCATGTGCTTGTGGTTGTGTTTTCACGTGTTGTTCAATTGAATTACAATGTACAATTATATTGCGTGATATATTGTGAATGTGACGTGTCACGAGCGACGGATTGTGTTACAGTCTGTGAGAATGTGTGGTGACTGTTCGCGCTCGTTTGTGTGGTTTTGAATATTATGAGATAATATTCTTAAAGTGGGGGGCAGTGTCACAGAACGAGCGCTAAAAAAGAGCGCGCCGCCAAATCCTTGCGACAACGGGCGGCAGAAACGCCGCGAGGTAAAAGAAAAAAAAAAGAAAGCAAACATCCAGGGCTCCCGGGCGCGCGCTCTCCCCGCAGAAGCACGGCTTCGCAGACGATCCTCCTCACCCCACATCGGCGGCCCAGCAAGACCGCGATTTTTCTCGAACGAACGGGGCGGGGTCAGACCGAGCTGAGTCATCAGACGCGGAGGGCAGACAAACCGTCTCGCCTCTCCCCAGCCTTCGCTGCGTATCGCGCCGACGAAATGACGAGAAAGATCTGGAAAGTCGCGCGCAAGGTATTTAACCGAGCAGCCGAGACGAGAAATCAGGAGAAGACGGAACGTTAGCGCCGGAGCGCGTAGGAATTCCGCCGTGTAGTCGGCGAAGGTTCTGCCCGTAGTGACAGAACAGGAGGAGACGGAAGTAAGCGCCAGAGTGCGTAGAGAGTCCGCCGTGTAGTCGGCGAAGTTTTTGGTCCGTAGGGACGGTTCGAGCTACAGGCAAGAGCGTGGGTTTACCGCTATCGAGCGAAGACGCGGGCAACAGCTGCGTGTGTGAAGCCGACGGGTTCCGGCGAAGAAGTTGAAGGTTGAAGAGTGGCCAATTGAAGACGGGAGGTTTCCTGGAAGAGAAACTTCAGAGAGCTGCGGAACGACAACAACGCTGGACTTTGAGTGAGTGATTCTCGGAAGAGTATC